TACTCTATTGCTAATAAATGCTATTTATAGTAATAAAACTAATAGATATAATAGAAATGATATATATAATGAATATAATATATATAATAGATATAATAGAAATAATAGATCTGTTAGAAATGATAGATCTAATAGAAATATAATATTTGTAATATCTGTAAGATCTGTAAGATCTGTAAGAAATATAAGATTTCCAGCACAGTAATTTGAGCCAATCAGAATCAAGTCACATGTACTAGAATTAGTGCTTTCATCAAAATCGTTCCGATCTTGTGGTCCTGTAATCAGAATCACATTTTCTTGTGCTCATTAGGATTGTCTCGGTAAGCTGAATCCAATGGTGGTTGTTTCATCCAAATTGATTTGGTACATCAAAAGTTATGGTCAAAAATGTGTAAAACTCTTAATGTCAACACTATATATAAAACTTATATTGCTGGCTATAATTTTATTAACTACAGTTAATATTATATTATCAATTCAAAATTTTTGATCAAATTTTGCAAATCACAGGTTACATATACAATCACCTGATTGTGCAATTGTAAAATGATTTTCTCAATTAAAAATTTGATAAATTTATAATTAATAACTTTCTATATTTATATTCTTAAAATAACGCTCATATTTTTGAAATAACTTTACATAATCACACAATTAGATAATTATACATGTGAACTGTAATTTGCAAATTTGGTCAAAAATACAAAGTAATATTAGATCACATGATCAAAAAGCAAGACACCTACATGACTCTGCTATAAACATTGTGGACAGATCAAACATTGCACCAAAGTGCACAAATAAGGCAAGCAATTGAAGATTGAGAATCATATGTGAATGATACAATGGCATATATTAGCAATATGTGAACAATGCAATAGCAAACAATACAGGCAACCAAGAGTTACATAAATATACAAACAGTGAATAGAGTTCACTTCAGTAATAAGCCTAAAAGACAAGAAAGTTTCTCAACCCTCCTAACTCTCTCTAAAAATAATGAATAATTATGTAGTCCTTCTGTTTTTTCATTCTCATTTCTCTGCTCACATTATGGGCTTACATGTATCTGCTTAGCTTGCCTTAGCAAGTAGAAAACCACCAGCTTGTCAATTCTGCAGTAACTCTCAGCATAATAAGTTTGCAAATTTCTCAGAATGTCTTTGTCATTCCTGTCTAATCTCAGTCAATTATTCACTCTATGTCATCTCTTAACTTCTTAAATAAAATATTTATATCCAGCCTAATAAATAATTTGCTGACTTAGCCCAAACAAAAATATAGTATGAAGAAATGTTTTTTATACATTATTTTGCAAACTGCAATAAACTTGCAATTATATTATTAAACTTGTATCTAAAAATTTAATTAAATATAATTATAGTAATCTTACAAATCCTTAATATCTACCTTAATATTGAAGCATTGTAACTCTGCCATGCCAAAATAAATTTTACTTTATAATAATATTACTAAAACAGAACAAAAAAACTACTAATAACATAATAAAATAATTACAAAAATCATATGTATTTATTTTACAGATTGGTCTGTAAAATTAGTTATATTTAAAATCTGATGCTTTAATTAAACCATATTTTTTTAGTGTTATGTTAAATACAGTATATATTTAAGTTAATCAAATGTAATTACCAATCTATACTAATCTAAAAAGTCAAATAATTAAATGTTCATAGTTGTGAGTAAAATGTAAACACTAAATTTAAAATAAGAAAACTCAGTAGTAGACTAAAGTTATATGTATAAAATTATAAAATGAATTTAGAAGCAGCTTCAAATTTACAAGGATTAAATAGAATTAGTTGTTTTTAAAAGAATAAAGAAAATAGAATCAGAATAAACTCATAGTATAACTGCAAAGCCTCAAAAAAAAAAGCTTAATTTAAAATGATTAGATAAGATGAAAATAAAATTTTTATAAATATGTAAAACTAAAAAAAAAACAAAATTATATTAATAACAAGATAATTTATCTTTGTTTTCTCAAATTAGCATTTTATAAGCTTACTGTTACTGTAAGTATTCACAAAATTTGATTATATTTTTTATAATCTTGTCTCATCATAATTTATAATTCAACACTATAATGTCTTAATATTCTTAGATGTCTTCTAAAATTAAAAGAACTATGTTGACAAATGAGCAGAGATTAGAGGTTTAAAATATAAAAAAAAAAATCAGAGTATTAGTTACATTGATATTGCCAAATAGATTGAAGAAAAGGTTGGTTTAAATATCCATCAATCAACTGTTGGATGCTTATTAAAACAGAGTGACAATAATTTTGAAGAAATGCCTACTATGAAAAGATCAAGGGCTATTACATATTCTGAGCTTGATAATGCATTATATGAATGGGTTTTATGAAATCAAGCCAATAAAATATTAAGTAATGTTATCTTAACAGAAAAGGCCAAAACATTTGCAAAGTTGCTTAATATACTAGAAGGCCAACTTAAATTTTCAACAGAATGGCTTGCAAAATTCAAAAAATGGCATAAAATTGCAAAAGTGAAATTGTATGAAGAAGATGCTTCTGCAGATCATGATGCTGCAACTGAGGCTATTCCAAAACTAAGACAATTGTTATCACAATATTATTCACAAGATGGATGAGACTGCATTGTTTTATCAGTATGATATAATTTTTTTTAATATATAATAATGAATCTTATTAATATACTACCTTTTTAATATTATATATAGACTTGAACCAGATACAATGTTAGTAACAACATGTCTAAGTAAAAGAAAAAAAAACAAGAAAAGATTAACTATTGCACTATATGCAAATGCTAGTGAGACAGACAAACTTAAACCATTGGTAATAAGAAAATATAAAAATCTTCAATGTTTCAAACAAATTAACAGAAGTAGTCTTGGTATAATATATAAAGCCAATCTTAAAGCATGGATGACTGGATGTGTATTCTAATAGTAGTTAAAAGCATTTGACTGAAGAATAAATAGATGCAAAATTATTCTTTTACTAGATGGTGCACCTAGTCATAACATTAGTGGTGTTATTCTTTAAAATACAGTTGTGCATTTTTTGCTCTTGAATACTACTTTAAGAATCTAGCCAATGAACACTGAGATTATTATATCATTTAAACATTATTATCATTTTTTGTTTGTTAAATAGCTTTTGGATCAGTACAAATTAGAAAATAGAAAACCAAATTAAATGTACTTTTTACTATCTAATTCATTGTAAATGCTTGGAATGATGTAATGGCAACAACTATTTTTAATTGTTTTTGTTATACAAAGATCCTTCCTGTAGCAATGAAAAGCAATATTAATAATAATAATGCAGATAATGAATTAAATGATAATGCAAATATTATTTAATGCATGAGCTATATATGAATATTAAGGCCCTTTACTTTCAAAATGAAATGAATGTTGAGAGTTATATTAACTATCCTAAAGAAAATATAACAGATGAACCAATTGATGATCAAGAGATAGTAAATCTTATAAGGCATTTAGATGATCTCACTACTGCTAAAGAACTGGATGATAGTGTTGAAATATGCCAATTTACATATCAAGAAGCATTTGATGCATTAAACAAAGTTAATTAATATCTTCTAAAAGAAAATAATAATATGACTGAATATATCAGTAACTTTTAAAAATTACCAAAAAAGTAAGAAGTTTTCAAACTACCTAATTACAACAAACTAACCTTGAGTCATTTTTTGCTTTAAATTCTGCTAAAAATAATATCAAAGTTAAATATAATTATTTAACCAATTATGACATGTTTAAAGTTGATAAAGATACTGAAATCAAAGATCTTGAATTGGAAAAATAATGAAGCTAATAACAAATAAGCTTTTTTTTTTAGTATTACTATAAAAGTTGAAAAAAATTAAAAGAATAAAAAAAATATTAAAAGAATAAAAATCAGAAAAAATAAAAAAATAAAAAAAAATAAAAAAAATGAAGGTTTGTAATTTTGTTAAGAACAAAAAATCTATTATATAGTTTAGATAAAAATAGTATATATTTAGCTAGAAAAAGATAACACATTTGAAATTAAATTTATATAGTGTAAAAATGTTAGTAAAAATAAAATTAGAGAAAATTGATACTTTTGCTTTAAATAAAATGTTTGTTTAAATCAATTAAAGAGAAAAAGATAATATTGTTCAAGTATATAAGTCGAAATTAATTAAATTATATATGATTAATGTTGTATTACTATATATATATATGCAAATCTTATATGTTGTATGTCAAATTAAAATCTGCATCAGATTAAAATCAATATAATACTACTAATTTAACTTAGGCTCTTACTCTAACTTTAATAGAACTTTACAGTTAAATTTTAATCTGATGCAAATTTTAATCTGACATATGCATAACATATATATTAATATTGACCAATTATGATTATAAACTCATGTCATATGATATAATAATCAATTTTAAAAATTTTCTTTAAATGCAATATCCCTCTATATGCAAGACAACCTATTGATCCCAATGGGTTGCACTTAGAGAGAGTTGACTGTAACACCAATTTACTAAATCTTTTAATAAAATCAAAGTCAAAAATGCATTAAGATTTTAATTCTAACAACAATTTATCAAACAACTCAAAGAACTTCTTTTTGATGAAATTCTTTTTATAAAACCTTATAACCTTTAAAAATAATATAATAAAGCTATTTAACATACCAACTACTATATTATACTAATATCTATACTAATTCAGATTGCATATATCTTGATAAAATCAAACTCAAAGCAAATAAAAAAGCAAAATAAACTACATTTAACACAAATCAACTAGACTATTAATATTTACATAACTACAATAGTAGTCTTTTTAAAAAAACTATTAACAAATCCTATTTAGAATATCTTAAAACAAAAAATAAAATTTGAAAATAATCTAAAATCAACTTTTCAATCTTTCACATTAATGGTAAACATGAAGCTACCTTTAAAAAACAAATATCTATACAACTTTTTGATAATTTTGTCATAAAAGCTAAAGAATTTATTTACTCAAATAATCCAACTAAGCCAAATTCTAAATGAAAAAGCTATTACTTTTATCAATATCTTAAAACTTATTAAAACACAGCTGCACAAAATTATAACCTTGACCAACTTAGTTAACAGCAAGCTATTAACTTTCTTATAACAAAAAATCATAAATATAAATTTCTTAGCTTGGGTTATTATTTACTTTGATATTAGTGACATTTTTATAAATTTTCTAGAAATTATCAAACACTATTAAGAAAAGACATACCCAGAAACAAAAAAAACTTTGCAAACTAAATTCAACTTACACTTTTAAGAATCAACAAACTTGGAAGATTCATTCATTCTTACAGATACTTTTTTTCAATAAATTCCTCTATAGATTACATTAATGCAATTTTCATCTTTAAGATTATGATGTCTTTCACTTCTAGTAAGTCATTCTTAAAGAAGAATAATATAAATAAACAGGTAGTAAAGTCTATTTATGCAAAGAACCAAGTTTATGACAGCCAAACTCAACATACAAAGCAGGCTATAGCACTCTTTGAAGTTGTGAGAGCCAAGTATACAGTGAGCAAATTTACAGAGAAATCCTTTATTTTTTTAAACTTCATTACATTATCTTATTTTAAGAAAATATTACAAGATGCATTATACAATATATTACTGAATCCAGATTCATGCTATAATAAATAGTTAGCCCATCAAGGCCTTCTACTACTTTTACATTTACAAACTTTTTATTTTTTTTAAAAACATATATATATACACTACTCAATCTTTACAACTTTACACTAGCAATATCAATTAAATTAGACTATAGTAAGTGCTATAAACACCTATCAAATGAACTAGAACCCTTATCTGACTACTTTATTCTACAACAATCTGGCTATAAATACTATCCATCAATTTCTATTTCTTCTAAATATTCTTCAATACTTAATAATTTACAATATATCAAACCTGTTCTTAAAGATAATGCTTTAAATTACATTTATACACAACTAGTAAATACTGTCCTATTTGGCTATAATGATACTATTATTGCTAATAAACACTTTGGCTCTATATAACTTTACACATACTACAATAAATTCCTAGCTTATAACCATCTTCTACTATTTTCACATTTACAAATAATTATCTTCTTTTTACAACATATTCATAGTTTTGATTATTTACCAAATAATGTTGTAACTATACTCTAACTATTTTTATTAAAAATAATTACAGTAAAGCTCATATTTACTTTTTATCAGAACCCAAACCTCTATTTAATTATTTTATTTTATTACTTCAAGCTATTTGGCATTATTCAAACATTTTACTAAAATTATATACAACAAAAAATAATCTTTTTAATTTAATGAATCAATATATTATAACATTAACACCAAACTTGTTACCTCCTACATCTTCAATACTATTTCAACAATCTTTGTCTCTTTCTATTTCTTTATTATCACTATCTTTATCAAGACTTTATACAAACTATTTATCTAACTTCTCTCTTAATTCAAACATTACAACTTACAATATTCAAGGCTTTAATAATTCAGAAAAGATGTTCTTAATGAAAAAATATTGTCTTCAAAATAATTTACATATAATTATTTTAACTAAAACCAAAATTGCAAAAACCAAAAATAAAAGGTTTTACAACAATTATCAATTTTTTTATTACTAGTCAAACTGTTCTACATTTAAAGAAGAAATATATATTATAATTAAAAATAACTTATAACCATATATTCATAATATTCTTAACTATTTCAGTGAAGCTATTGTAATAGACTTCTTTTTAAACATAAATATAAATTTTGAATAATCTTAATATATCTATTATTAACAAACAAACTTGCTTATTAACAAACTCAATTCTCTATTATCACATAGACATAACAAGCACTTTAGCTACAACTATATATAATTATTCTTGGTAATTTCAATTTATCAATTCAAACTACTATATCTAATGCAACTATATATTAACTACTGAACTATTTACATAGTATTAATATATACAACTTGGCAAATCATACAAATAATACTGATGCTACTTGGCAAAGTAGTAAATATAATAGCAGAATTGACTACATATGGACAAGTAAATACACAATCTCATTTCTTAACAAATTCTATATTAATGACTTATCTTAGATCACTAATAGTGATTATTGAATGCTTATAGCACAAAGGACTTTTCTTTTTGCAATAAACAAATCTAAAAAAAAAACAAATATAAATATAAAAATTTTAACAACAAAGCAATGATTAATGAAAAATAGAACGATTTTTTAAACCAAATTAACTCTAATATATACTAACACAAAATTTTTATAGAAGTAAATAATACAATGTTACTAGAATAATTTGGCACAAAATCAATACTTGTATTATTAATGCAGCTCTACAATATATTCCTAACAAAAAACAAACAATTAAACATTCTTTTCACATCTTTAGCTCTAAAGCAACAATCTTATACAAAGATCTTAAACTTATTAAAAACATTATTTATAGAGTTAAAAACTCATTAAAACATAATTTTACTATTTTTATACAAACTATAATTAATATCAATACTATCAATCACAAACACAACTTTGATATTTCAAATCTACTCAAAAACCCTTTACTATTACCATAATGGATTAATAATGTTAAGCAAGTATAGAAAGTTCTTTTTTATACACATAGTATAGAAAATACTCAGAATCTTAAACAGCATATCAATACAGCAATTAATAACAAATATGAATAACTAATAATACAACCTATTAAAATAATAAATAGTATTCTTAATAGACATACAGATCTAGTACATTTTCATAATATTAAAACTAATAATAGTGTTATAACTTACCTTATAGAAGTATTTCAACACATTCAACACTTTTAATACTAGACCTGACATTAATCTATTAGTACAACTATATTTAACCAATATTGAACAGAAGAATACCAACCTAAATAGTTCATTAATTGCAACTGGTATGCTCCTTTACTCAAACCTATTTCTATAAAAAAATAATGCAAACAATACAACAACTTACAAACAACAAAGCCTGTAGGCCACTAGGTATAAGCTATGAAATGCTTAAATACTATGATTCATCAATGTTACAGACTATTACTCAACTTTTTAACAAATGTCTCAATACTAACATAATACCTAAATAGTAAAAAAATAGCAGAATATATTCTATCTTAAAAAAATTCAAATTTGATAATAATCTTAACAATATCTAACTCATTAGTTTAATTGACATACCAAAAAATTATATACAAAAATCTTAACTAATCAACTTTCTACCATTCTATCATCATGCCCAATTATTAGCTCTATAATTATGTTACACTATCTGATAATAGCACTAATACATTTCTATATATCTTAAACAACTTTATCAAAGATGCCAATAGCAATAAAAAATATGGCTATTTTCACAGAACATAAGCAAAGTATATGATTCAGTTAATATTAATCTTCTAAAAAAATTACTGCATCATATTAAACTTCCACAATCTATAATTTGCACAATAACTAATTTGCTCAAACTATACACCAATTAAGTAATTATAAATTTTGAATTAACACTATCATACCTAGTAGAAAATGATATTAATCAAGAGAAAACTATAACTTCTTTGATATAGTGAATCTATTATGACTTTCTTATTAACCATATATACAAAAAATTTAAAGGATGCATATCAATAGTTATATATCTAACTTCTTTATTTTCTGCAAATTACCAAACAACTTATACAAATACTTTTGTATTAGCATATATAGATGATATA